TTGCACAAATCAAAGCCAGGGGAATACTTTAGGGTGTAAAACGTCAACCTGAGGATCGAAATCCAAGAAATGTAAATATACATACATACATACTTATACAACTCCGATACTGACACATAAGGTTTATTGCAAACCACTGGTTTTCGTTTTTCTAACAAACCTGTGTCTGTATTGTCAAAAAGTCTAGTTGACGCTGAGAGCGCGTAGTTGTAGTTTTATTCATCGCATCGGGTCATGCTATATCTTTTTGGAAAGCTCATTTCACGCGCTAACACGTGTTTGATTGATTGTCGTTTCTTTTAAGTCGTTTGTGAGTTATAGCGTCGCAAACATGGAGCAAAATAAAGAGAAAATAGGGCATATACAAGCCGCCAATAAAATTTGTTCAGTTTATGGACTCGGTACAGTTTCCATTTCCACCGCACAACGATGGTTTCAACGTTTTCGTTCTGATGTAGAGGTGGTCGAAGATGCGCCACGCTCCGGAAGACCTGTCGTCGAAAATTGCGATAAAATTGCTGAATTGGTCGAAAGAGACCGGCATAGTAGCAGCCGTAGCATCGGTCAAGAGCTGGGCATGAGTCATCAAAAAACAATTTTATGAACAATTGAAAACTCAATAAAAATACCGCAAGACTTTTTTGACAACCTATTATAGGTTGGGTTAGTACGGACCCGATTTTATTTTTTTTCCTAATACCACGTACTATTTCATGCCCCATACTAAACAAAAATCATATAGAGTAAAGTCAACCGGTTATTGAAAATCCCGATATTAGTTACATAGGGGCTTTGTCAAATTTTCGCACAAATGTATCTATTTTAAACACAAAGGTACAATATATACGCCACAAAGTCACCGTGAACTTCCACTATATTTATATTAGGTATGTATATGGAGGATTCAACCCATTTTTGGCATACATACATACATTGTCAGAGAAGTACTATCATTGAATTTCAATTATATATCTCAAACATTGACGGATACTTTCGAACAAAAATCAACTGTTGGTACCGGGGTACTAATATTCGGGACCTAAGGCTTGAGCACTTTGTATTGGATTTGAACAACATTTAGTCATAAGGTGGCATATACTAAAAGCATTATTCGTGCAAAGTTTAGTCCTGTTTTATATATATATAACATATATATACATATATATGGCTATATAAATATAAATATATTAACATACATACGTATGCATATATAGACACTATATTATATCTAAAGAAGTTCCACATATTACATACTAATGCTTTTTATTGCGTTTTAGTATTTTAATCAACCTTTCTCAGCTGTTTTCGAATTCGCAATTATAGCGCTACCCTTAAAGTTTTTTTCGTTACTGGATGGTTGAAAGAATATTACTTACTCGATTTTCAAAAATACTCACGTAGCTCGGTAAACGTATACATATATCAATAATTATATGGCAATGTTTCGTTTTAGTGAATGCATAGGAAATGTTCAGTAGGAAGTCTAGCTGCGGAGTGTTAATAAAAAATTATCGCATCAAGAATAATAATAAATACTTTTTAAACCGATTGCGCGTTGATTGTTAACTTCATATAAAATATGCACACATGTGACATACATACATATTATTTACGTATTTACAAATTTAGTATATACGGACTACCCACACACATAGACGGATTTATATACATACATATGCACATATATGTATGTAAATACATGCGCATGCGTCAGCTTAAAAATAATGTATGTACATATGCATTAATTAAACGAACGTCAACAGGTAAATGAACTTAAACAACCGTACATCAATTTAATAATTTTTGTTCCTATGTCATGGGAAAAAACTCCCACTGTTCTAAAAATGTATTACAAAAGTTATGGTTCTCAATCAATATTTTTTTCTATTTAAATTACTTCAAAATAAATCTATATTGAACTTTCAACAATATACATATGTAGATACTTTGAAACGATTTCTTTAATCTGAAATATTTCATTGCTATACCTTTCTATGCAGATATATATACATATACATACATTAATACATGATAAATATCTATATATATTATATTAATTTATTTCGTTCGAACATAAACATACTTAAATCTACGTACATATGTACGTGGTTACTACTACTTATATAGGTTTACTTTTATTTTTACTGCAAATGTGTAAAGATTACTTAAATATATAATCACCTAATATCCTTCATCGCATTCTTCTTGATTGGCGTAGTCATCGCTTACGCGATTATAGCCGAGTTAACAACCGCGCGCCAGTCGTTTCTTCTTTTCGCTACGTGGCGCCAATTAGATATTCCAAGTGAAACCAGGTCCTTCTCCACTTGGTACTTCCAACGGAGTGGAGGTCTTCCTCTTCCTCTGCTTCCCCCGGGGGGTACTGCGTCGAATACTTTCAGAGCTAAAGCGTTTTCGTCCATCCGGACAACATGACCTAGCCAGCGTAGCCGCTGTCTTTTAATTCGCTGAACTATGTCAATGTCGTCGTATATCTCGTACATCTCATCGTTCCATCGAATGCAATATTCGCCGTGGCCAACGCGCAAAGRACCATAAATCTTTCGCAGAACTTTTCTCTCGGAAACTCGCAACGTCGACTCATCCGTTGTTGACGTCGTCCAAGCCTCTGCATCATATAGCAGGACGGGAATTATGAGTGACTTATAGAGTTTGATTTTTGTTTGTCGAGAGAGGACTTTGCTTCTCAATTGCCTACTCAGTCCGAAGTAGCACCTGGCATCGGAGACTAGATCACCTTTGGGGGTTCTACAAGAGTATGCCCTGGTCTTGAAACCTTCTGTAAGCCGCCGCATTTTTTCGTAGAATTTTCGAGCATTACCCCTATCGGCCAGCTTATCAAGCTCTTCGTACTCACGCATTTCGGCCTCTTTTTTTTTCTGTCTGCAAATGCGTCTCGCTTTACTCATCAACTCTCGGTATCTATCCCATCCCGCATGTGCTGTGGTCGATCATAACGTTGCGAATGGAATGTCCTTCATCGCATTGCAAATATAAATTTTTATCATCAGTAAGGGTACATATATAATATAATATATAACACATACTTAACACACATACCCGGCGTCCGAAGTAAAATAATTTTAACTACCATACTTAGCAACTGGTAGGAACTGCAAGCGCTACTATTAGCTTGACTGTTCTTTATTTAAGCAGGTTCATTTATGTATATATAACTGTAGAAACCTCGACTGCGATTGGTATAAGTCGGATGTATTACAATTATAGTGTGTCTAATTACATACTGGTAGATTTTATTACAAATTCGATATTGCAAGGTAAATTTGCATATCGCATAAGTATACAATATATTATGTATGTGTATATGTAGTGTGCTTCTAACCAAGGGAAAAATATTTAACTAGTCTTATCTTGCAAATAATTAATACATTTCGGCAAGATAAATGTGTTGGAAAACAAAAAGTATATTGATAATGTACGATATACTGTTGTTTCTACAATGTATACAATTCAGACGAATTGAGTTATAGTGAATATTATAGTATCTGCACAACCTTTTTGTAATTCGTGGACAGTTCGTCAATTATTCTCCAACATGAAAAACTTCAATATACATGTAAGTATTTACATTTATATAATTGATACCCAACATCATCTTCCAATTACTATACCATCTTTGAATAGTTACACTTAAATTCACGTTAATAGAAAAACGTAGAGAACACTGCAGGGCTCCAGTCGATGTAGTGTTGCCAAAACAAAAAATAAATAATAAGTACAATATAAAAATTAGTCTCTGATGTGACTTTCTGTGAAACTTAGTGTTTTAATGACGTATCTAGGCTAATAAATTGTGTAATATGTTTTGTTCATTAGGAGAACGTGCCATTTTCATGTAACCATTTACTAATGCAGACTAGAAGTACTATAGCATAGGAGGTAATTATTAAGAGAAAGTAAAAATCAGGCGAAAGAATTCGACAACAAGTTATTATCTCATAATTTATGGTATAATAATGAAAATTACTAGTTTCTGCTTAGTGAAACACATATGACGATTATTTTACATTATAATTTTGTTAATTTTTTAGTTTAGCAATGATAATATCTGTACAAAAAAAATAATGTACATTCTAACATTTGAAAATATTCTATATTATTTGCATACTAATATATAAGCATATATGTATATATATTTAAAAAACATTAATTGATATTTATGTCGCATGGGGAAGTAGTTTACCGAAAACCAGAAATAATTCATCATTTAATTTTAGCTACACTCCAATATCAGATTAAAAAACTTTCAATGATATTCAAATATGTACTCACATGGAAAAAAAATATTTGTATACTCGTTTAAACTCGCGACTCCGCCCGCTCTTTGTTGTCAAGGATATCATTTATGGGGATAACAATATAATGGAATAGTTAAATTGGCAATCTAAATTTTTGTTGACATCGTAAATCACTTAAGGATTAGTACATACATTTATGATGTAACATCTTCACAGTCTCTGTATCTGCATTGTATATTGTTAGACATACATATATATGAGTCGAACGCCAATATCTAATAATATGATAATGTTTTGTCAAACATTCGTCAAATGTAATTGCATATACACAGATACTACACTTAAGAAAACAGAGAGTTGATCGTTCCTTTTAAATTTTGCATTGTTCTGTACAATGCATCAGGAATATTGCCACACTCATCTCAAATTATGATTCAACCTTTTCTTATTCAGTTACAATCTCAGTTCTTGAATTATAAATATACACAATAATAGTGAAATCGAGGGTAATTTTGCCAAAAAGGCAGCCGTTAGGATCTTCTCCAGAACTAAAGGAATAACCGTGGAAATTTGCATGTCTTTCCGTGCTGTGGTTCGGGCGTAATGCGTGGGCATACAAAAAAGACGTTCCATTTTTATATATAAGATATACAAATTATTTAAATATGTTGATATGTGTGTACAAAAATGTTGAAATTGGAAATGTCCTTACCTTTCCAGATTTATCTATCACAATTCGGTTATCTGCCTGCATCAGCCCGTAATCCTGCAAACGGCGGTTTACTTGATGCAACCACATGGACTAAAGCTGTGCAAGATTTCCAGAGTTTTGCTGGCTTAAATGTAACCGGAGACTTGGATGGAGAAACTTTGGAGCTAATGTCATTGCCCCGGTGTGGTGTTAGGGATAAGGTGGGATTTGGCACCGATAGTCGTTCTAAGCGATACGCTTTACAGGGAAGCAGGTGGCGTGTAAAGGCCTTGACATATAAGATTTCTAAATATCCTAAACGACTCAAACGCAACGACGTTGACGCCGAAATAGCACGCGCTTTCAGTGTATGGAGCGATTTCACAGATTTATCATTTACTCCGAAGGCTTCTGGACCAGTTCACATAGAAATTAAGTAAGCATTTTTATTAACTAATACAAACAGTTTTTAGTTGAATTTAATTCATTTGTACATTACGTATATCATACAAGTATGTAAATACATATATAAGTAGTTATACACCTCGGTAATTGAATAACTTCAAATTTAAGTCAATAAGTAATATATATTTTATAGATTCGTTGAAAGCGAACATGGGGATGGTGACGCATTCGATGGGGTCGGTGGTACCTTGGCTCACGCATTCTTTCCTGTCTTTGGCGGTGATGCACATTTTGATGATGCTGAGTTATGGACAATTGGATCACCTCGTGGCACAAACCTTTTCCAAGTTGCAGCCCACGAGTTTGGCCATTCATTGGGCTTGTCTCACTCAGATGTGCGTTCTGCTTTGATGGCTCCGTTTTATCGTGGATTTGATCCCGTATTCAAACTTGACTCCGACGACGTTCTAGCTATTCAAGCTCTGTATGGTAAGAAAACTGTCGGAGTAGCTGATCGTGGTGGTTTTCCAAAAACTACCCAAAGACCAGTGATTTCACCACCAAAAGTTCCACGGGACGACCTCATTTGCAAAGATCCAAAAGTTGACACCTTATTTAATTCAGCCGATGGACAAACATATGCATTCAAAGGAAACAAATATTACAGGCTTACTGAAAACTCCATTGCAGACGGCTATCCCAAACTTATATCGGATGGCTGGGCGGGTTTACCAGGTAAAAAAAAATTAAAAAATATAATGTAATATCCAAATACATCTGTGATTTTTTTAAATAGGCGATATAGATGCAGCATTTACATACAAAAATGGCAAGACATACTTCTTCAAGGGTACCAAATATTGGCGTTACAATGGACGACAAATGGATGGTGATTATCCAAAAGAAATTAGTGAAGGATTTACAGGAATACCAGATCATTTGGATGCTGCTATGGTTTGGGGAGGTAATGGCAAAATTTACTTCTACAAGGGTAGTAAATTTTGGCGCTTCGACCCACTAAAGCGGCCGCCAGTTAAATCAAGTTATCCAAAACCAATCTCAAATTGGGAAGGCCTGCCAAATAATATTGATGCTGCATTGCAGTACACCAATGGCTATACATACTTTTTCAAGGGTGATAAATACTACAGATTCAACGACAGGACATTCTCGGTAATTTTTTTTAGCTCATAGATTTAAAGTGATATACATTGAAAACTTAGCTATATTAATTACATAAATTATCTTTACTGAATAGGTTGACGCGGCAAATCCGCCATTCCCTCGACCATCTGCACACTGGTGGTTCGGATGCAAAAATGTGCCGTCATCAACAGGTAATATAATTGAAAATTCCTACGAACCATTTTTGCACTCGGCATACAACAATGATGAAAATGACGAATCACTACAATTCGAAGCAGGTGAGTGGAACCGACCGAGGAGCACATTGTGAGATTGAAAAAAGCAATCAGCCGTTAAATATTTATATCACAACTAATGTAAAGTTGTTAACTTCATAAGATCTCTTACCCGTTTTATAATTCATTTAATTAGGAATAATTTGAAATTTCTTTGAAATATTACAAAAAGGATCAATATGGTATGTCACATCTCATCGAGTTATATAATATAATATGTGTATATACATATATGTATTAACTCATTACTTACTGTGTTGTTTTTTGTGTTACCTTTATTGTATAAATCCTTACATGAAATAGATGAATCTGGATATGTTAAAGTGTTCATTTGCGCTGTTATAAATTTATTCCAACTGATACTAGTTAAATGGAACAAAGCCTCATAATACCTTCTTCACAAACAATGCATGTTATATCATATAGTATCAAAGTTGAATGTTTAAAATGACCGCAGAATACTAACAAAATTTCATATACTATGTCCTATATCAACCACCCCTCATTTCTATCTCTCTCTAAGAACATACGAATATATGTAATTATAATATTTAGCAAGTATGTGATTTAAAATTCGTATTTTTTTCATTTGCGGGAAAACTATTATACTAAATGGAGACGTAATTTAAAAAAAAAATGTACGAAGTTCTTATGTATATGTGCTAATTCATTAAACCTTTCTAACAAGATAACATCAAAAACGCCTAAGTATATTAACAATGTGAAATATGATAAATAAATAATCATATGATCATTTCACCAGTAATCATATGTAATCGACTCTGAATAATCGATCATTTTATAGAATGGTAACTTATGTAGCAAACAAATAATTAATTTATTGAATTTTAATAATCATTGGCAATATTAGTAATTCAATTAGTGTGTGAATATTAATTTTATGCTCATCCTTTTTTCATTTAACTCGCTTGTCGCTTAAACATAATAGGGCTCTCATTGAATTTCTTATCCCGATGATTCAACATACCGTTAAGAAAGCAATATAATAATTGATAACCTTAAAAATTTAGTACAAACATAAACGATGTTCACTTAAACCAACTGAATACAGAACTCACAAGTTTCTTCAGAAACGGTAACCTGGTCGGTTTCACTAATCTACAATTGGAGAATAGTGATTATATATAAATATAACACATATATTATAAACAAAATGCAAATCCTATAAGATAAAAATAAGCAGTATTTAACAATGTAATTAACAAACGCACTTGATTTATCTGTCGCACGGGTATATAAAGCTTATTAACTAATCATCGAGCATAATATTAATTTTGCTGAGGCAGACTCATAACATATGAAGTTTTAGTGCTTTCATTAACATAATACTATTGTAACACTTCATTTAAACATTTAGAATAATGAGTGAGGTTGTGCCTAATATCAAATCATCAAATAGCAAAAAAACAACATACATACATTGTATATACGCGAACTAGTTCCCCAGCCTCGCTCTGAAATTTTGCACACGATCTTTCCCGCCACCTAAGCCGCTCACTTGTCGTAACCCCCCATATGGTACCACAATAGCATATATCTGCCATACAAACTGAACGATCAAAATCAAGTTCCTTCACAGAAGACTTTTTCTTAACTAACGGCGAACCTTCACGAAATTCGGTATGGAGAAGGCAGTGAACTAATATTGACGACATTTTCCAGATCGGACCACTATACCATGTAGCATCACATAGCTATCATTAAAACTGAATGATCAAAATCAGGTTCTTCTATTGAAACTGTTTTATTAGTGAAAAATAGTTACCTTTTTTATGATTTTTTTGTACATTAAACATTATAAAATTAGTACCTTCCTGATTGCAGAAAACGAATCGTTAACTTGTAGTAATCGTTATATGTCGAATAGACAGGAATACGGGTCATAAGCACATGTAAAGATATGTTCAATGGAATTTAAAATGGTAGTTGAATATTAGTCAAAGACTACTTTTCATTTATTTGATGATATCCTCATGGATTCATATATAAAAGAAAGTCGTGTTAGTTACACCATTTATAACTTAAGAACGGATCTTTATGTTCAAATTCAATACAATTCATAAATACAAAAATTATTTTTTAAATCATAAGCGTTTGTTCAAAATTCATGTAGGAATCATTTGAAAATGATTGGTTCACCAAAAAGGCAATATCTTCTTAACTAATTGTTATAATCTTAATAATAGAAATCATATAGATGGTATTAGTAGTACTAACTATGTATCAGCCACAGCAAAACGTGGACGGGTGCTCTAGTACGTATGTATGTATATAAAAATTATTTTGTTAAAGTGTTGAGGTGCAAATAGTCATCCGGTATCATTTAAACTTCGTAGTTATTGAAAAACGTGCATGGTTAAGCTAAAAATGTTGCCATAAAAATACCACTATATACATACATATACATATATGTACATACCAGAGAATGCAACGAGTAATAAATTTTTCTTCATAATCGAGTATTAATCCGTTACTCTGATTATACATGATTTGTTTATGAACGTTCACATTAGCATTGCCACACATGATTCAAATCAATCCAGCAGAAAATTTGCTGTGCTCGTAGCTTCCCCGCAGTTACACATAAGTTGCAGCTTTCTGGTACATACTTTATGATACATATTATATGTACGGATTCAAAAAAGTGCAAATAGTGTTTTCATAAGTTCAAAAAAATTACATCTTGCAATGAAATAACGGTTATGTCATAATTTCTTTTCTATGTGCAAGTTTTTATGCATATTTTTATTTTATATAATTATTCGAGTGTAATCAATTTCGGCATGTCCGTTTGCTGTATTGTGCGGTAGTAACTAATTTAACTTAAATTAATTTACTTAAAATAAATTGCATAACCAATGCATGGCTATTTGTATATTGGTAAGGTTATCATTTCTATAAATGAATGAAGGCCGATTTTCACTGTTATTTTAGTCGTATAATATTAGTATGTATGTATATATATATATATATATATATATGCTTAGTATATGTACAGGTGTATTAATAACTGTTTCCATCCTTGAGGTTGCAAATTGCCTATGCACTTCGCACTGTACTTCTGAGTAAATAACTTTGATCGGTTAGGCACCGCATTATCTTGAGATAGTTTTTAAAAATGTATGACATCTAAAACACATTTTGTTGAATTTGGTTTATTTTGCAGGCATTAAAAAACGTGGCTGAACTCACAAATTCCTTTATTTCATACAAATATGTGTGTAGTTACAAATATATATAATATATAATTTAGAACACATTTGAAGATAAAAAATCAAGGCTTAAGTAGTATATACGAAATGTAGGCACGGATATACCTATTTGTTGCCAACAAACAATGTATGGATCAATTCGTGTATACAAAAGCAACCAGATGTGTTGATGGTTGAGCATGGTGAATCTGCGTGCGTATGCCTTAGGCTATCATCTCTCATAGATGCAGATACATACATATGTATGTAGCTGCGAGTAGTTTTAAAAGAATTAGCCGCGTTTTTACAAATATCTTAATTAATTCAGTAGCAACTATAAGTATTTACATGCACTAATATGTTTGTTTAGAAAATTATTATAGTAGTATTTATACAAATTCGTAGTGAGTAGTTTAGAGGGATACTGCATCTCAATGTATGTAGTTATATCCATAAATGTATTTTTTTATGCACACTAGTAAATATGTATAAATTTTTATTTAAATAATTCTTACATTTCTTTTTTGCTACGATCACATACAAACATATATTTGCGACGAAAAAATTGCCACTGTTGGAAATTTTTAAATATTTTTACAAATGAAAGATGAGAAACCTGGCAGAGGGAATATCCCTGGTTGGATGTGGAATATAGCGAATTCCTTCTTTTAATTGTGTCATAAATATTTCTTATTATTAACGATATCTTTTTAAATATAAAAATAGTGGAAAACTAAAGAGACAACTTAAAAGTTAAATAAAATAGTGTAAGAATCATAAGGCCTTAGAACAATATTGCTTGTAAATTTGTTAGTTAATTTTTGTGTGCAAAGCAACAAAGTTGATAATTACCATCTATACCGTGTATAATCGTGGAACTAGGCAGACAATCCAGCACATCGTTATTATCATCCAGCTTCCTCATTCATCAAAACATTACATATCGTTGTCTTCGTCAAACTATGTCCAGCTCATGGAGGTTGTGCGTCCTGCAGCAGTAGCAACAGTTGAAGCTGCACAGTTACGAGTAATATAAATTCCAAGAAAGAGAAAACTAGCGCTTACTTCTGTGGTCGCACCGTCTCCATGCCGTATTTCCTGCTTACATGCGACGAGTATTAATATGACAAGATTGCTTGCTAAGCCACAACACCACACGTACGTGAGAGTTATTATTATTTATTGTCATTTAAGAATAATTAAGTAGAAACTTTCTTTTTCATATTTATTGCTTTTTTAGCTAAGAAAAACTTGTCATTAAGAGATTTTTCAGTTTAATATTATTGGATTATTATGTGTAATAATTTCTTATCAAAAACTTGCACACAATGTTTAGGGCATTCCTGATAAATTCAAAATTATATGCCCAAACAAATTTCAGCCAAAACCATTGACCTAACTCTGGCATGAACGATCTTGAGTAAAGGAATCTTCAGTGGAATCGAATACAATAATTAAATCTCTTAATGAATTTATGTGTATATAGTTTTGTTATATACATATGTATATGCATACATATATGTATGTAAATGTACAATATTGTTATATAAATATTTATATATTTCAGCCAATATTATTTATGATGCTAATATTTGTTATATTATAATATAAAGCGCCACATCTCCTGAGCATTTAATTAATACATCTAATTTATTTCAATACTTGGGGATTGTTTACATAGGATTAACAGATGTTCATTACCTTGTACAGCAATATAACGATGAAAATTAATCTTTGGTCATTTTACTAATATTCATTCAAAATCATGACTAATACAAAGTGCAAAAAGGATGCATGAAATCGTCATTATTTAAAATTGATCTTTTCTAGCGGAGAAATTTTCAAACATCCATGAAATATATTTGCAAAAACTTCAGGATAAATGTATCTAAAGAACATATACACATGCATTCTTCGTTGATCTAGCTGATTTTCTCGAATAATCGAGCGCTCATTTAAATTATAGATTTTATTTATTAAATAATCATAATAAAAGCGAACTTAAAAAGATACATTGAAATAACAGATTGAAAAAAATGTCAATCTAGGGCTTTCCACTTCAAAATTTTTCCCTCTTGTCTGCTTTACTCTTTTCCTAATAATAGGTATGTATATACATAATTAAATATTGATTTTTTAAAGCGCAGTAGGCTTTCCGCACTTGCACGAATTCAGCGAACGTTAAAAACTTCAATACCAAAGAAAATGTCTAATTTTACGTTATTTTTATTACATTGTTCAAAAACGATTTCACTCTACAAAGGTAATACCTCCGTATTATGCTTGAATGCTTAATGTATATGATTATCCACTTGTAGGTGACAAAATACTCGTTTTTTTTTTTGTTTTGAACAGCCAACTAAAAATAATTAATAATCTTATTCATTCGATCATTATCTGCCCATATAGGTATTCAAGTCGATCGGTTCAGACGTTTTGGAAAAATATTACCTTACCTTACCTTACCTGCTCTGAAAACAGGGATGCCGTTTGAATATCTTCACCCGTTTACGTCAGTTTTTGATGACCCGGGGCAGCACTGGAGTTTAGGCTATAGAGCGCTGAATGTTGCTTCGAGCTCCTCAAGCGTTGCTGGTCGATTGGCCCAAACCTTTGATTTATCATACCCCCAGAGATCATAACCCAATCTAGTCAAGTCGCATGGACTTGGCGGCCATTTGAGTGTTTAATTTCTTGAAATTAACGAATTTCCAAACTTTACACTCAATAGCCGTGAAATAAGAGTCACAGAGTCTTGTTTTACTCTCGATTTCATCAAAATTCGAAAGAAATAAGACGTGATGATGCCACCATACCACAATCCTCAACAAACGGTAAATTTTTGAAGATGCAATTGATTTTCCTGAACGTGAATGTATCTCCGTATTGACGGTCATATCTCCCAGAAGATTACCGATTTCCAAACTTCTAAATTAAAGACTACTTCAAAAAATAGGATTGCTAGGATTGCAATAATTTCAAGCACTATGTTTATATCTTTATAAAATACTGTTGTAATAGTAAGTCTACAAATACCTTCAACATTATTTGAATGTATTAATAGACATAATATAGCAATTCGCTGTGAGTATACTAAATTATTATTTAATTTTATTTCAATCCATTGTGAAAAATAAACACAGACTCCCGAAGTCTGTTCGATGTCGAAATTCCTAAATAAGGAATGGCTTTTTATATCAATAAATAATAATTATTATATTACCGCCAATTTGATAGTACAATACGAAATTTCATGGGGGAAAATTTCTATCCAGTTATGCATACTATAATTTAATATACAATAGTATAGAAAATATTCAAGTTAATATACAAAAAAGTTAGTAGAGTATAATAATAAATATATAATATAATTATATACATTTCACAAACAGGAAATGACGACCATCAAGCTCATGACGAGTCTCCGGAAGTCGATGTTTCGAGAAAAAGCAATTCTGCGAACAAATATTATACATCTCTCAATTGGAATATGCTCTTGGCGTCGTCTTTGATGGTGCTTATTTATAATTTTAAAAGTAGATAAAAATCACGCAGACTATAGAAATGGATATTAACATACATAATATAACGCCAAATATATGAGCAGAGAAATTGTATACTCACCTCCTTCGAGTTCAATAAGTGGCCGCACCTCCTCCCTCCTTAAGTGTTTGAAACTCATGTACACGAAAGTTAGCTTTAAAAAAATGTATAAATAACTGTAATTACGTACATATGTACTTAGATCATAATTATACCTATAAGCTCAATTCGTAGATTTAGCAAATGTGACATTTTATCTAACTTAGTTTAGCCTATAAACTTTAGTTTTCCAAGTAAAAGCATTTGTGGTAATGGGGCAGAAGAATGACCTAGTAGTTCGAAAATATGTGAAAAGTGCAAAAACATCATTGTTAAAAATAGATCATCTTTACTGAGTTTTTAATCCAAAGTCGGCAAAGGTATATTTTATGAAACCAAATTTACCCTTTTGTTATTAGGTTTAAAATATTTTTTACTTAATATATTAAACCATCTAAAGTGCTCTCTTAAGAATATCACTTAACCGAGTACAGTTTTCATGCCTAGGCGGCTCAGAAATGTTCGCATGTATATAATTAAATATTGTATTTCATCATAACATAAGTAAAAATATTTAATTTTGTTAATATGCAATTTTCTGTCTTAAACCTATTGTAAAGCAAATTGTAACTTTCAATAATATTTTTATAAATAAGAAATTTATGTAAGTTAGGAATTATAATGAGATTTTTATTATTATTTCCTAACTTTTGTACATTTTATTGTGTGAGAGACGTTTCCAAACCACGGAATTAATATTTAACTCCAGATATCGAAGTCTTGATAGGTTTGTTCAAATGTTTATATATACTTTTGTAAATAAGCTCAAATGGAATTTTCTCAAAATACATATTTACATTAAAATTCACCTGTTTTATTTTACTTATGTATATTTTCATTTCGGGATAAAGCAACAATTATTCGAACGTGCCTCGGAAAAAGAAGTAGGTGCCCCTCATAACTTTTTGCTGGATCATCTTCTTCTTCTTTATTTTCGTCAACACGTTTAAAACATGATTTATTCATCAGATAATGGTTTTCCCAGATATCGCCGAGAGGGTATTTCGAAATTCCAACTTTATTTTTTTAGATCACTTTGAAGGCGAAAGAATCGCTAATTTGTAATTTTGGAATACAAATAAACGAGTTTGAGAATAGCTCTTCGATGAAGTAGCTTTAAAGTTATGAGGGGCACCGACTTTGAAAACGTCAATTATGAAAAAAAAAACGCTTCTAAAAAATCTGATGCAAAACGATTRTAAGATATCATATAAAAATAATAGTAATTTCGCCAATTTTGTTCAAACGAATTGAAATTTTAACACAATATTCTTGAATTTTCAGTTAAAAAAAATACAAAATAAAAATAATTAAAAAACGTACACTCCTTTTAATTAAATTACATATGTATATGATTACCGTGAAAATTAACGAAAAAAAGAGAAATTGGCCAGACCTTGCAGTGTTTTCTAGATCATATTTTCATCATGTCTTCTTCTAACCTCGAAATATACAATACAGTGATTTTGGTTCCGATTGACTTTATGTCAGATTAACATCTTTCCTAGTCACAGTCCGTTTCAAAAGCTAAAATCCAGTCCAGAAGTTGATGAGGATACAAACACCGAAGTTTTGAAAGTGTGAAAATTAAATTAGAATCATCCTCAAATGGGATATGTACATATAACTACATATGTAATATAAACTCAACCGGAGAGGCGAAATTTAATTGACATATTTAGTTGATGTCGAAAACGGCCAGACCAATTCCTTCATTTTCAGCACCACATTATTGAAGCACGACGGCGGTCTAGAATTTGTACCACTTTTTCTTCATAACTTACGCACAGGTGAATAATTTTTTGGACCGCAAGCATTTTCATTTATTCCGAGTGACTCACAGGTTTAAAATGCGTACCAAATAATATTATATAGTATAATGGATAATGGCGCGATAATATCAGATGTTCAGGTGTGGTTTTTCTGTTTCTATCTATTTTGTCGTTTATTTCCCGTCAATCTTTCGAAAGTACATGCGCAACTCTGGAATACGGTGTGAAAAAGTGCAGAAAATATTTTTCTAATGATATATTGATGAACAGTTAATTCTTTTCTTTGGAGAATTCTGCTACGGTAAGTATTCATTAATTTTAAAAATTATGTGGAAGTGCTACGCTTATGAGTAGTCATTTTTGTAGCGATATTAATTTTTAAACCATTGCGAGTTTTGTACTGAGAAATATTTTATTTAGTTTCTGAAAAGATAATATGGGCAAGCCTGAATGATGAGGAAACCATACATTTTTATAACGAATTCTAAGAATTAAGATTGGATCGTACTGAAATCCGACTTAGAATCAATCTTATATTTTGTATAACTTAACGATACAACCCTCCCTAAAGCTTAAAGTATTTCAGTTTAAAATAATTTAAGGGTTCCTGTTTACATGACTTATGAGCTTTCCACAACATCCCACATCCCACATGCGACATCACAACACATCACATCACAACACATCATCACTCACCAGTTCACAACACACAGCACCTAACACCGTTAATCATACAACACACAATCATCAACCAATCGACTCTAGTATTCACCACCCAAACCATTAAAAGATATATATCCGAATGGGCTCTTCTTCATTCGACTCCATCCATGAACCAGAAGTTTTGCTATCTCTTTCGCCATAAACATACGGATAAGCATACGTATCCATGACATCCAAAAAGGAACAAGGAACAATAACGATAAAAGGAGAGGAAAGAGGAGAGAGCATACATACATAAGTATTACCCAAAACCTTTGGCGGAAAATAAAGTGAGTCCGTTCCACCCAATATTAAATTATATAAAATCAAATAAGTATTCTCCAATATATGTTGACGGTGTTTCGGTACAGTTTGACGGTATTATGGTACACCGTTAATTACAAAAATACTGTCACCGAACTGTTGTTAATAACCGCGAAACAGTTCGGTTATATCTGTCTCTTTGCTTATTTGTGTACCTAAACACGGAGGATGGAGTCATGTGTGGAGGATGGAGTCATGTGTAGAAACCCCCAATGTAAAGGAACAACCAGCCTCGGATGAGAGACCCCACTTTTGATGACGACCATGGCAAACGAAATAAGGACTACGAATTGAGGGCATGCACCTGGAATGTCCGGTCCCTTAATTGGGAAGGTGCTGCTGCCCAGCTGGTTGATGTCCTCGTAAAAATAAAGGCTGACATTACCGCCGTCCAAGAAATGCGATGGACGGGACAAGGACAGAGACTAGTAGGTCCTTGTGGCATTTACTACATTGGCCATATAAAGGAGCGCAAGTTTGGTGTGGGATTCGTGGTCGGAGAGAGACTCCGTCGCCCAGTACTATCATATACAATCCGCATCAAAGCGAGGTTCTTCAACATATCGCTGATTTGCGCCCACGCCCCGACGGATGAGAACGACGATGTGACCAAAGATGCCTTTTATGAGTGTTTGGAGCGCACTTATGAGAGCTGCTCCCGCCACGATGTCAAAATCGTGCTTAGCGACCTTAACGCTAGGGTGGGCAAGGAAGGTATATTTGGCACTACGGTCGGTAGATTCAGCCTCCTCGACGAAACATTCCCAAATTGGTTGAGGCTAATCGGCTTCGCCGGGGCCCGACATATGGTTATCTGTAGTACTAGATTCCAGCATAAGAAAATACATCGAGCTACCTGACTGTCTCCGGATCGAAAAACAACCAACCAGATCGATCATGTGTTAGATGTGCGTGTGTTCCGAGGTCCTAACATCGACGCGGACCACTATCTTGTTACAGCCAAGATTCGCACCCAAATCCAAACACAAGGAAGGTTCGATGTGGAGAAGATGCAATCACAACAGACAACCGAACGATTTTCTACTCGGCTTGCACTCCTGCTCTCTGAGAACACTCGTCAACAACTCGGTATAAGGGAACTGTGGGAGGGCATTTCAAAGTCCTTACGTGCAGCTGCAACCGAAACCATTGGTTTTCGGAAAGTGCAAAGAACAGCTGGTATGACGAGGAGTGCCGTATCGCAGCGGAGAAAAAACAGGCTGCCTACCTCACAACGTTACGATCGACCAAAATACGTGCGGGATGGGATAGACGTATTTGCAGACAAAAAAAGAAAGAGGCCGAAATGCTTGATAAGCTGGCCGACAGGGGTAATGCTCGAAAATTCTACGAAAAAATGCGGCGGTTTACAGAAGATTTCAAGACCGATGCCCAAAATATACTTAAATTGTGGAGGGAACACTTCTCTAGTCTGCTGAATGGCAGTGAACGCACAACGCCAGGAGAAGGCGAAACCGATTCCCCAATCGATGACGATGKCGCAGACGTTCCATTGAACGACCAGGAAGAAGTTCGAATAGCAATTACCCGCCTGAAGAAAAACAAAGCGGCGGGGGCCGATGGATTGCCGGTCGAGCTATTCAAACACGGCGGCGAAGAATTGATAAGTAGCATGCATCAGCTTCTCGATCGCTTATCGAGCGTATTATGTGAAAGATTAAAGTCCACCGTCAACAAACTAATTGGACCTTATCAGTGCGGCTTTAGACCTGGCAAATCAACAACCGACTGAATATCTATTACGCCATACTCCAAATCTTGGAAAAGACCCGTGAAAGGAGAATCGACACACACCGCCTCTCGTCGATTTCAAAGCCGCTTTCGACAGCACGAAAAGGAGCTGCCTTTATGCCGCGATGTCTGTAAACTGGCGTTAAACGACACTAAAATCTCCGTCAGAATCGGGAAGGACCTCTCCGAGCCGAACGAGGTTTCAGACAAGACGACTCCCTATCGTGCGACTTCTTCAACTTGCTGCTGTAGAAAATAGTTCGAGCTGCAGAACTAAATAGAGAAGGTGCAATCTTCCACAAGGGTGTACAGCTGCAGGCGTATGTCTGGAAATCCAACGGAGGATAACTCTTGCCAACAGGTGCTACTTCGGTCTGAGTAGGCAATTGAGAAGCACAGTCCTCTCTCGAAAAACAAAAACCAAACTCCTGGTCCTTTGCGCGTTGGCCACGGCGAATAACGCATTCGATGGAACGATGAGCTGTATGAGATATATGACGACATTGACATAGTTCAGCGAATTAAAAGACAAAGAGAGGCTACGCTGGCTAGGTCATGTTGTCCGAAAACACTTCAGCTCTGAAAGTATTCGACGCAGTATCCACCGGGGAAGCAGATGTAGAGAAAGACCTCGACTCCGTTGCAAGGACCAGGTGGAGAAGGACCTGGTTACGCTCGGAATATCCAATTGGCGCCACGTAGCGAAACGAAGAAACGACTGGCGCGCGGTTGTTTACTCTGCTATAATCGCGTAAGCGATGTCTACGCCAATTAAAAAGAAGAAACACTGATTGCAAACAGATTATTTTTACTAAAAAGTATTTAATTTTACCAAAAAAAGTCTGTTTCCTGTTTATTTATTYATTATTCAATGTAGAAAGCAAAACAAATATGACTGCGCAACTTTTAGTAAGCAGCGGGAAGCACTGTAGTGAAGAAAAACAAGAATGGAAGCAATATGTCATAAGCAACGGTAAAATCTACAATGGAGTAAAAAGACTTGTAGGGTGATTAGTTATAAATGCTTCGCAATGCGATGATTTTAAATGTTTTTTTAAGCGGGTGTATTCCCAATTTACAATCGTACTGACATAATGGACCCATACACATGGAGAATATTATGATACCATTTGCTCAACAGAACATTTCGCTGAAATGGATATTTCAGTAGGATAAGGACCCGAAGCACACCAGTAGGGTGGCAAAGGAGCGGTTTCGGTTCAACCACCAATCGACTCAATCCCCAGACCTCAATCCT